GAGAGGCTGTCGAACCCTGGCTCGCCAGCGCTGGTCTGAGAGTTTCCGGGGAGTCCTGGCAGGTACCCCGAGAACCCAGGCCCTTGTGCGATTGGCAGTCTGGGCAGGCAACCAGACAAGGGGCTGCAGAGGGGAGGCGAACAAGGGAGTCTAACAGGCTCCTTTTCGGGGAGGGGTCTCCATCGCAGGGCGGGGGGAATGTTGCCGCTGCTGACCTACCCGGTGCCCAGTGTCCGTTTTGATATGGCCACATTCCGATAATTAATTGCCTCCAGCACGTGCTCTGTAGTCTCTTGAACCAAAAGGCATAATTCAATTAGATCATCAACCGAGAAGTGGGGAGGTGGAGGGATGCTTGTTAAGGGGCAGACCTGAGGCGGTTCATCCAGGCCAAAACCCCGGGCGTGAAGCGCTTCCCGGGGCAGACCTGCCCATCCCGGGTGTGCGGCTCTAAGGGGGTATCGTTGTTAGGTGGCGCGCAGGGGACCCAGATGCCCCTAAAACGACAAGGACTGGGGGTTTTGTGAACAGCAGGGTAGAGGCAGGCCATTTCGAATTCTATTTGGGTTGGTTTAGGTGGGAGCTTCCTTATGTTGGAAGGGGGAAGGTTAACCTTTAAGACAAGATAGAAAGCAAACTCTCCAGATAGAGCAAGTTACCATGGATGAAAACAAAGCTCCCATCTCTCCCCCACAAAGCGAATCACTGCTGTAAAGAAAAAAAAAATTGAAGTTTTCTGAATGACCTGTAACTTCCCCTCCCCTAACTTGGTTTTCAGAGGAAACCCTGGGAAAAACTTTGGGGCGCAAGAGTCTTTGGGGAGCTGTGTCCGAGGAGTGTGGAAAGACGAAAGCAAAAGGAAGAAAAGTTTTTTTTTTTTTTTTTCTTGCACACAGGATTGGGTGAGGCAGAAGAGAGTTCTAGGGATTGTTTTTTTCTTTCTCAGGTGGAAAAAGGACTCAGTGCCAGTGAGGGCAGGACAACTTGAACCCAGGGGTCGTGGTTCTTATTTTACGCTGCAATCGTGGCTTCCTCAGCAGCTTTGGCTTACTGGGGTTTACATGTGTATTAGGTGGCGTAAATTAACCAATAAATCTCTTTTATGCGTCCCCCAGTTGTATGCGGTCTGGTCTAAATATCCACATGTCTATATGGATAGGAAATATAATAGGATCCTTTCCCTCACACTGAGTTCAAACAGCAAATAGGAAAAAGATTTATTTTTATGCCCAAATCTAAAGCAATAAATAGAGAAACTGATCATTGCCAAACCTGCAAAGCTTTTGAACCCGATTTGTAGGATCCATCTTGGAGAAGCAGGAGGGAAAGCGAATGTCCTGAGGGGCAGCAGGGTAGGACTGGTTTCTCCGTACAACTGCGAGCCTCACCCTATAGCCCTTTTCCCTTCATCCCAGCCTTCTAAAAAAACAAAACCCCAAAAAACATATACAGCACATTATATTACCATGCACGATTTCTTTCTAAACACATTTTCTGTGGTGGACATGAAATTATCCAAAGTTGGAGATCTAGCAATTTTCTTTAAGGCCAAGGAAAACACTTTGGTCTTTTCTTCTGTTTTGTATTTAGAAAAGACTTGCAATCTAACACTTGCAACATTTTAAAGACCCTTTAAACCCAGCAAGCGGATTTCCGTTCTGCCAATGCTTCCTGATTTATTTCAATAAATGAATCTCTGAATCCAGGAAGGGAATTATTCCAAGACGTTGAATTTGGTGCCCCTGCCTCTCCCTAGAGGAGCACAAAGTATTTCTCTTGAAACATGTCCTTGAAATTCACCATTATTCGCATTTTTTTTCCTGGTAAATGACACTTTCTTTACATAAATCCGCACCCTCTCTTCAGAGTCCCAGAGCTTTTGAAAAGAAAAACAGCGAACGGCAATAAAAACAAAAAAAACAAAAAAAAAAAAAAGAAAGAAAGAGAAGAGAAAACTTGGAGAAGAATGCAGTTTTCATTTCTTTTTATTTTTATGCTAAGATAAAGCCCTTAATTGGCTTCAGGGGCCCAACTGAACTATCGATCAGGAACCTGTGGACAGACTCTCCAGTGCTCACTGAGCTCCATATTTTATTGCCACATCAGAGTTTCAGAATTTTCACTCTAGTCCTATCATTGGACAAATATTTTATAAGCCCTGTATGCCTTTGAAATTCAATAAAGAATGAACAAATAGATATCACTAATTAACCCCTCTTATAAATCTGTTTTGTCTTTGTCCTCTGTGGTCTAAGTCATATTGTGGCCCAGTGTAATGAAATGCAAACCAGACGGGGAATGAGACATTTTCATTGTACTTGTCAATCAGGTCTTACCAGACAAATATACACACACACACACACACACACACACACACACACGCACACACACACACACTTGAACTTCAGAGACTCGGGCTGAAGTGTTTAGGACTGAACTTGGAGAAGACAGGCAAGAAACTTAACTAGAGCTATCAGAATTAGTTTAGGATTATAAAGGGAGACCCTCAAATGCAGGAAATGAATTGAAACCCTAAGCAGTGGGCAGTGCTCCCTGGTCCTATCTGGGTGAGGGGCTCAGGATGAGCGGTGGTCCTGGCCCACCAGATCCTACCTCCCCAGAATACTGTTTAGGATATGTGGGTGCCTAACTGTTAGCTTTCAGGCTCCAAGGTATGTTAGCAGTGACTCTGGGTGCCAGAAGGGCAAGTCACATTGGAAGACTGCATCAGGACCCCTTGTAGGTGGGGAGTGCCCAGGCATGAGGAGAGGGAGGCGTAGACAGCGAAGAAATACCCAATGACACATTTGAATTCGGTTTGTGAGTCTTTGTCCCAACACCCAAAGAGGTGGTGAAAGGACAATATGTTTGAGGTGCTGAGTTTGCCTGACATTCTGAAGTGCTCACTTACCCAGGACTTAAGGTCCCTTCTAGCTACTTAATGCTGTATTGGTTCTAAAATGTAAATTATCTCAGCTCCAAAACAAGCAGCGAGAAGCCTTAAACTATCCCGAGACACTTGCTCATTTGTTTCTCCTTTGAGACCAAATTCTGGAAGAAAAAGTATCTCTGGACCACATGGTGCTCTCTAGCAGTGCTTTTTATTCTTATACCTACGTCTGGAGTCCTCACCACCCAATTGTTGCCAAGCTCCATTTTCTAGTCTAGGTCTATACCAATCCACCTTTCTTTCCTCATTCAGGTAATGCTGCATTACCTGAATTTTTCTGTTGCCAAAGCTGAGAGAGAATTCCTGCCCCCTAAAACCAAACAAAAAAAAAAAAGTTGTATCCAATTATCAGGGAACTTGATATAGTTTAGGGTGTGACATTTTATAAAATCAATTGCCTGTTGTTTTTGCACTTGTTCTGGGGTCATCCAGAGGGGATGAGAGGAAATGGCTTTGCTATTAAAGCATTGAACCTCCCTTTTCTTTTTCTTTCCCCCCAGGACCAGCAAACAAGACATAATGGGGGTAAATTAGACCTACTTCTAGCTTAGACTTGAATGGCAAACATTAGGGTGTGACATTTTATAAAATCAATTGCCTGTTGTTTTTGCACTTGTTCTGGGGTCATCCAGAGGGGATGAGAGGAAATGGCTTTGCTATTAAAGCATTGAACCTCCCTTTTCTTTTTCTTTCCCCCCAGGACCAGCAAACAAGACATAATGGGGGTAAATTAGACCTACTTCTAGCTTAGACTTGAATGGCAAACTATCTGGCCCATAGCCTGTTGCATCTGTATGGCCCCGAGCCAAGAATGGTTTTTAAAATATCTTTAAAGGGTTAGAAACAGAAAGGGGAGGGGGGAAGGAGTTTATCCTACAGAGACCAAATGTGGCCTGAGAAGCCTAAAGTATTTTCTGTCTGGCCCTTCACAGAAAAGGTCTGCCAACTCCTGAACTATGGGTGAGTGTAGTCTTGGGCAGAGGTGAGGTTTAATCAAGGTGTTCTTAATTGATAGGTTTTATTTACTTTCATCCTCCTATTTTTTCAACCTCCATTTTGCATATGACTTGATTTTTTTTTTCAGTTTCACACCTCTGTTATTTCCTGAGATAACTTTGGCTTTGTACAACAGTAAAACATAGTCAAGAGAGGAAGAACCCTAGTAGAAAGAGGGGATGAAAAAAGAGGAAAAAGAGTTGTGAATATCTCAATCAGTGACTAGGCAACCTCTGACCTTGAGGGTGGTTTTATTGTCTTTCTTCTTTGGCTAGAGATACTAGTGTACTGACCTTTTCTGCGTGACTGAGCCCTGAGGGGCAACCAAAGGCACCAAACCAAACAAGGCCTTTGAGCACAGGGTTTACTGTTGAGCAGCCTGCCTTCAGGAAGCCCAAGGGAAGTGACCTCAATTCCCTAGGCCTGAGGGGCTTTGAGGAATAGAGGTTTCCCCTCTTCCAACTCAACAGCCCCCCAGTGAGGACCTAGAGTTAGCCTCTCTTCCTCTCCCGGAGACACTCTCTGCCCTTTCTCCTGTGGGCAGTGGACAGAAGTCATCAGTCAGTAGATCTGGACAAGAATTTTAGGCTCCCTGCCTGCACTCACCCCCTCTAAGCCACAAAGAGAGCCTACAATAGAAAGATTCCAGGGTGCTCCCAACAGCCCAGCTTAGCTTGTCCTCTTAGGTCTGACTCCCTGCCTTCCTCTGCTTTCTTCCCAGGATGGCCCTATCAAGAGTGTCTCTTCAGGGCTGCACCCTCCGGCTCCCATTAACCCTTGCTCCTCAGATTCCGCCTTGGTAGATCATATTTTACCTTCTGAGCCTGGCCCAGGCTGACAGACCGTTCCTTCAGACCCAAGTAGCCACTCCACTCAGATGGAGTTGCCAAATTTAGCAACCCAGGACACTCAGTTAAATTTGAATTTCAAATGAACACAATTTTTCTTATTTAAGTGTATGCCAAATATTGCATGAGAGAGGCACTAAAAGATTCTCTACTGGAAATTCAAATTGAACTAGACATTTTATATCTTACATGGCAACTATACACTTATTTTATTTTAGTTTTAATTTTTTGACATAAGGTGCATCTCCCCAGAGAGAGACAGAGAAAAGGAAAATGAGAAATTACCCCCAAGGGGGGGGATGGTCACTCCACAATCCCTTCTCTTGGGATTTTAGGCACCCATGCACATAGGCAGGGCATGTTTTTCTTTCTTTCTTTTTTTTATTAAGAAATATTTTATTTAACTTATTTATGTAGTTATTTATTTTAATTTGACCAGAGAGGGACAGAGTGAGAGAGAGAGAGAGAGCCACCAGGTCTGGGACTCAAACTGTGGTTGACTATGTGTGAGTCCTGCACCCTTAACCACCATGCCACCTGCTGCCCCACAGGGCATGTTTTTCAAGCTGCTGGGTCTGGAGCTTGAATATTCTGTAGGCCATGTGATATCCAGCACCTTAATGGCCACATCACCTGCGGACAGCAAACTATATTTTCAGGAGTGTGTTACTGAGGGACTAAATTGTCACATCAGTGGAGCTCTAACTTAAATGTAACCTGCCCAAGTGCTGCTTGACCGGACAAGGGAACAAAAAT